AGACAGAAAAAATGATAACACTTCGTTTTTTCGTCTCCGAAAATACGCTGAATTGCGAAACCGTTTAAGTTCCATTTTCTTATGACCCTTTTATCTGATCTCACCGTTTTCGAAATTCTAATGGTGATAGTCAAATTTGGAACACCATCTGGTATATTATCAGCCGCATGACACAGTTCTGTTAGGACACGAATTTTGCTGATAGCTCTTTGTGAAACAGTTTCTTGAACACTCTTTCAGATACTCACGATTTTCAATAAAGCACATTCTGTATCCAATATAGGGATGAACAGCCTCAGGTAGTATTCGAGATACACTAAACGCGTATATGATTAACGTGTGAAATGCTGGAAGATTCCAACCACAAAGCATGTAAGTTATCAGTCTTCTGCAGTCTCGCCGTTTCTGATGTACACCCACTGCTTGTCGAGTATACCTTAAAACATATTGAGAATACACGTACTTAGTGTTATTTTGCAATAAAGTGGTCACTAATGAAACATTTCAGCAAACAATAACGTCCAGAATCTTTATGATATTGTAAATATACTACTTAATCCATTAAAATTGTAAAATATTGAGAATAATAGATTGTGCTTTAGGCCTTTGGCAAAGGATACTCATAGAATCAATATTTTCAAGTGAATGTCTCTTTTAAAAAGATCTGACATTAATTTGGACTTAGATATATCAAGTTTTTTGTGGCATATCATATATACTAAGTGACATATAAATCCGAACACCCAGTTTAAATGGTTTTATTTTAATAAAATTTTGTATAAGTACTTAATGAAGCATAATAAGTAAATGATAAAAATTTCAAAATGATTGCACTGCTTTATAGCTCTTTGACCTTTAATAATGTGTGGATGCACCCTGATGTGCTACGCATTCTCCAACGCGCCTAGGCATGCTTCTGATCAGGTGGTCAATGTCCTCCTGTGGTATCTCATTCCAGGCAACCACCACCTCCTCTCGAAGTGCTTCTAGAGTCTGAGGAGGACGTTGCAAATTGAGCAATCTCCTACCCATCATATCCCACACGTGCTCAATTGGGGATAAGTCAGGAGATCTTGGTGGCCATGGTAACAATGTGACATCATTATGTTGAAAGAAGTCTATTGTGACTCTTGCAACATGTGGTCGGGCATTATCTTGTTGGAAAGTTGGATCTGCCAGGGTGTCAAGATAGGGTAAAAGATGGGGTTCTAGAACTTCGTGGATATAACGCTGCGCGTTCATGTTACCTCTGATGAAGATTAAAGGTGACATGGAACCATAAGCTATAGCACCCCAAACCATAACTCCAACAGTGTGATGAACATGTCTTTCAACAAAAAACTGTGGATTCCTCCTTTCACCACGTCGCCTTCTAACCCTGGCACGACCATCGTGCATGCCTAAACAAAATGGAGACTCGTCACTAAAGACAATACTGTTCCATTCCTGATCCCAGAGTGACCGTTGTCTGCACCACTCAAGGCGATTACGTCGGTGTTCTCGAGTTAAAGGGAGGACCCAGTGTGGCCGGTATGAAAACAAGCAAAAACTTCTCATTCGTCGGTAAACACTTCGCATGCCAATAGGTCTTCCGTGTTCTGCAAACCATTCATTTGCAATGGACCTGGTAGTGGAGAAACGGCCAATAATCTTAGGCGGCGATCTTCACGGTCTGTTGTTCTACGGCGGCGTCCAGTGCCCCTTGCTCTTTGCGTACGGCCTTCTCGAAGCCATGCCTGACAACACCTAACCACAGTGTCTACACTTCTTTGCACTCTAACTGCAATTGCCCGAAAAGAGAGTCCAGCTTCCCGAAGTCCCACTATACGACCCCTATCAAACTCTCCAAGTTGACGAAATCGTACAGGTCTCCGTACTCTAGGCATCGTAACCGATCGTAAAGGATGTCAAGAACCAAAATCCGCCAACGGTGATTCTTTACTGCGGCTGAAATATTCATTTTTAGAGCGTTAGTGAATTAAAAAAAAGCAGTATAAAAACCGGAATGTCCAACTGATAAGGCTGAACATTTTTTCACTTGTTATTTACAGTAAGATAAATACATTCACAAACTTTTATTAAAATAAAACCATTTAAACTGGGTGTTCGGATTTATATGTCACTTAGTATATAAATGTGAAATCCTGAAGAAATCAATAAATATTAGCGAATGCTCAAAGTTGAAATGTCATAAATCTACCCCGTTCGTTTATCTTTTCTTGTATGCTCAGCACCTTCGTATTATTACAAGCTTTTATTTAATCTAAACTGTTTTTTTAAGTCTCCGATAATCTTAATCAATCCAGCTGAAATTTTGTACACGTGTTTGGTCCACGTGACAATAGAAAATGAATTAACTGTCACCATTTTGAATCCAATATGGCGGATGCTAAAGATGGCGATTCATTATTTCCATAGTAATCCTTATGATAGTGATAAGAGGAACAGAACAAACTTATTGACGTCATGACAAACATGCCGTGGGATTCACATGAAAGTGCTTGATAAAAGGAACGCAATAAGCAAAGTGACGTCATTCTGGATCCAATATGGCAGCCACCGCTGTGTGGCGATGTATAATTTTCATGGTCATAGCTATGATATGGGTATCAAATTAAATGGCTTGATGAGAGAAACACGATAAGCAAATAACGTCATTCTATATGGCGATCTACGCAAAATGTTGATTTATCATTATTTGATTGATATACCGATTTTTTTGCAAATAAGGAAGCTTTATTTAATCATATTAATAAAATATATGAAATTTATATATAAAGGGTGTCCGCAAAGTTGGGGTTTTCCTTTTCAGAAACAACTACCCTTGGGCGACCAAGTAAAAAAAAATAAAGAAAAAAGTACTCACCCTCCAGTTGACGAGAAGGGCTAAGTACGTCTCTGCCCGAAATCATACCGCTCCAACAGAAAATGAAATCAGCTGATGCGCTACCGAGCAGACGCCGGCGGTGGTGCAGACCAGTAGACCACGAACAGAGGTAACACATATGACCATCGTGCAGAAACCACATTGATTGTCTTACACTTAATGGCACATCTTCTAACAAGGAAGGCAAAATGTTGCGTAAAAAGTCTAGGTATTGCATCCCGTCCAATCGATTTGGGAGAATAAATGGTACAATGAGCATACCGTTCACCATGCCAGCCCAAAGATTCACCGAAAATGTTTGTTGAAAATGTGCCCGACGGAGAGCGTGCGGATTTTCTACTGACCAAACATGAGTGTTGCGAAAGTCATTCACCCCATTACGCGTGAACGTAGATTCGTCTGTCACCAATATGCACTTCAAAAAGTCCGGATTATTGTCATGTTGATGCAACAACCACTCACAAACCCGCACTCTTGCTGGAAAATCGTCAGGTTGAAGGGCTTGTACACGTTAGACGTGAAACGGATACAGCCCCTCTTCAAGCAGCGTTTGCCATACTTTAATTTTTGATACTTGCACTTCTCTAGCCACGTCTCTAGTGCTTGTTGTTTTTTGAAACGCAATCAATTATACGGGTTCGTTTACCTCTACACGCGTGACCGCAACCGTCGATTGAAGGTTGCATACTGACCTGACACACTGACCCCGACACCCGACCCAGTTCTGTCGTCCAGTTGAGCTAGTGTCCTAGTACCAGTTGGGGATGTCGCGAGTCGCGGCTACAGGACGGTATTCAGATATTTTTGATGTTGCAGAGCCCGTTATCTCGGTTCCCTTAAGAGTATATGGTACTAAGAAAAATTGCTTATGTTTTCAAGATCTACATGTCGTGTAAAGGAAAACCCCAACTTTGCGGACACCCTGTATATATGTATATATATATAGCTTTTATTCAGCTGTTCATAAAATAATACCTAGGATTTAAAAGCATTTTTTCCGATTGTAAATATTTAACCAATAATGAAGCTCTTTTATCTAAAGTCTCCAAATAAAAGCGTTTTACGTTTTGACAGCAGGATGGAAAAAGGACCATTATCACATCAATATTCAAATTATTACCAATCGAAAAGTTGTATTTTTTTATTTTACTGATACGATCTATTCCTATTTTGAAGGAACTTAATTGCCAACGAGATATTCTAACATCTCGAAATTAACGGACTGCGCGTAAACGTTTGTTCTGAAAACACATTATACTTCAATCAGCGATCTTTTATTGCACACAACATTATTCATTCTATTCTTTCCAGTGTGCTTGATCAAAACAACTGACTATTTAAATACTCCATTTACATTGGCAATATTTATTTTATCAGATTTATGAGAAAATTCTGACGGATCTATTTCTGACGACGTATTCCATATTTCGATATCACCAATTCGATATGGTATAGTTGGTTTTGAAATATATGTTCATTTGACTTACCCAAAAGTGAGCCATATGTCACAGCACATAATATTCAGCCAGGCAAATGAAGCAGTTGATACGAAGATTATGATGTATCCTGGAAAAAAAAAATAATAGATTAAAAACTGAATTCAAAAAAAATGGAGAACTTATATCAATTCTTGCATTCTAGCATGAAGGAGTGGTTTTTATATTCAAAATAAGAGGAAACTATTTTAGAATAGCTCAACAAAATTTATAAGCTTTACAGAAATACATTATATCGTCCCTTTAGATCAGAACTAGCCTATGTCCATTTTTGTCAAAATTGAGATTTTAGACTATATGATGCAGTAAGGTGTCGCCTATCAAGTGCAGTACTAATCTAAGTCCTAACGTTTATATTTTTCACGTACTCATTAAATTAAGAATAAGCCTATGTCCTGAAGCAAAATAATTGTTAGTGCAGAACTATCCTTTTTTAGAACAGAAATTCTATGTCCATATTTGGGTAAATAATTTTTAATGCAGAAGTATCCTTTGTTGGGACAGATTACCTATACTAGTGAATTGTGTGGACTTAAGCTAGTTCTACTTTGAAACAAAATTTTATGTCCAAGAAAATGTGGACTTAGGCTTATTCTGATCTATAATTTTAATAAACCCTCACATCTTTTAGTGGACATAAACTAGTTCTGCACTGTACTGGTTTCGACTTGTTAGAAATCTAGGCATTTCAAGGCGCCACCGTACACGAATAACGCAGATTACCTCAGTTTAAAGCAGTTCTTAGTGTATAGTGATCGAGTTTGCGCAACGTAAACAAATTAAATATGAGTTCTAGAAGGAAAAAAATTTTTGATCTTCTGGCCAGGCACTGTGATGGTAAGTAGTGCTTTTCTAGCTATACAAATATTCTTAAGTAACACGTTAACATTGGAAATACGTTTTTAGCTACTGGTTCAGGATAAATTCTATTTATTTTTTTAATTGTATAAATAAAAAAACAAATAATACGATCTACACTCATAAAACTCTGTACTGAATAATGTTTACTTTATTTTTTTATAGATACCAATCATGACAAACTAACAGTATCTGCAAGACCAGAAAAAATAGACGCCCAATATTTGATGAATACAGCAAATCTTATGCCGCCTGGTTATTTACTCTCTAAGGAAACGGCTGCTTTTAACAAGAGCGATAATGCATTTTGCAGTATGAACCTCGAAAATATAAAATCAGTTTTGAGTATTGAATCCAATAAAGTTACACCGATTGTGGCCGATAAAGGAGACGCAAATGCTAGTGAAGAAGTAAGAAGTGTTCTCGAAAAAATCATAGGTAAGCAAACTAACGAGTAAAAAGAATTAGTAATATTAAAAATCAAACACTTTACCAGTAAACAAGCAATTATACTCAAGGTACATGGTATACATCTTGCTTAGGATAGGATTATTGGCCAAGCATACTGAGTTTCAGTCAAATAAATGTATGTGGCCCATTTTTTAATAGAAGATAGAATAATAAGAGTGTTTTATAAGGTGTGTATACTTGTATCCTCAAAAATAATATCTAAATCTCCGGTTTTGTTGATAACAGTTTTAAGGCTAAAAAAACAATAGGCTTTTGAGGCTTTTCAACAACAATATTTAGTTATCCTTGGGGTCTAGAAAGTGAGTACCTCCGGTCTGTTTAAAAAAATAATCATTTATTTATTTTTAATGTTTGTGTAAGTAATTTTGGTTTCATAAATGATTTGGTTTTTATTTTCGTTGTCAATTTTAAAAGTAGGTATTTTGTTATAAATTTCTTACTGAGACTTTTTGTTCTAGATGTAATAGAAACTGACCAATTGGACCCTGAAAAATGTGGCAAACGGAAAAATATTGTCGAAGAGGATCTGTATTTATCATCGGACACGGATCCTTTCCAAACTGATGATGAAGAAAACGACCCTAATTTTAATCCACAAGAAAGCAAAAAGAAGAGAAAAAACTTTAATTTTGAAAACAATTATCAAGAAACTGATACAAGTTCTAACACAGATGAAAAGAATAAAAATGCTAGAAAAATATCTAAAAAAAAGCTAAGAAGAGAACATACTTGGAAAAGAAACATAATTAAGTCATCGAGAAATCAAGGAAAGAAATACACCAACTGGAAAGGAAAAAAACAATTAGCAAGAAAAATGAAAACATCATGTGAAGAGAAATGTAGAATGAAGTGTCTAAATAAAATGAGTGAAGAAGAAAGACATAAAATATTTACTGAATATTGGGGATTAGGAGATGTCAACCGCCAACGTGATTTTATATCCAAATATGTTACAGTAGTTTCTAAAGCTAGAACTAGAATTCGTAAAAAGAATAAGCATCATCCCGCTGAATTAAAAGAAAAGAATGACAATACATTCTTAGAACTGTCTAATGATAAAAACAGTAGAAGAAACAGTACTTTTACATACTCTCTTCCCAAAAATGAAAACAATAAGGTGCAAATATGTAAAACTTTTTTTCTAAATACACTGTCAATCAGTGCACAGGTAGTCAAAACCGTTATGAACAAAACTGGAACTTCAGGTATTGTTTCCGAAGATAGACGAGGAAAAGCTTGCAAAAACACTCTTATTGACGAGTCTACTAAACAAAATGTTAGGGATCACATAAACTTATTTGAAACAATTGAAAGTCGTTACTGCAGACAAAAGACCAGTCGTAAATATTTACCCCCAACACTTAACGTAAGCAAGATGTATACCATGTACCTGGAGTATTGTCAGGAAAAGAATATTAGGAAAACAGTAACTGAAGCAATGTATAGAACAATCTTCAATAGAGATTTTAATCTATCCTTCTTTCAGCCCAAAAAGGATCTCTGCGATATTTGCCACAACTACGATAATAGTTCTCTTGAAGAAAAATTAGAGTTGGAAGAAGATTATCGCATCCATATCCTAAATAAAAATAGGGCAAGAGAAATCAAACAGTTTGAGAAACAAAGAGCAGCTGAGAATAGCAGTGAGGTTTGTTGCGCTGTCTTTGACTAGCAACAAGTGTTGCCAGTTCCCAAATCTAATGTTGGCCTGTCCTATTACAAATTAAAATTATCAACTTACAACTTTACTGTGTACAACCTAGCAACAAAAGAGTGCAATTGTTACATGTGGAATGAGGTAGTCGGAAACAGAGGTGCCTCTGAGATTGGAAGTTGTTTACTTTTGTACATTACCAGCCAAGTAGAACAAGGAATAAGAGAATTTAGCTTCTTTTCTGACAACTGTAGCGGTCAAAACCGCAACAGATTTTTGTACTCTTTGTACAGCTATTTATCGCAAAAATATCAAATAAAAATAAAACATACCTACTTAGAAAAAGGCCACACTCAAAGTGAAGGCGATTGCGTACATAGCGTAATAGAAAGAGCTGCTCGAAATATACCTATATACACACCAGATCAGTGGTATACGGTTGTAAGGACAGCTAAAAGAAAGGATCCATACAAAGTAGTTGAGCTTGCACAGGAAAATATATATGATTTAAAAGATCTTGAAAAAAAGACGTGTATTAACTGGGAAAGAGATGAAGAAAACGAAAGAGTGTTTTTAAATAAAATAAAAATAGTTGAAGCTGATCCACGTTTCCCTAACACTTTACTTTTTAAAGTTAATTACGACTCTACCTACAAGAAATTAAAGCTCACAGAAAAAGGAAGAAAAAAAATAGATGTCGAGATAGCCTCACTAAAACTAAAACCATGCTACGAAAAGGAAATTTTTTTGAAAAAACTGAAGTATGATCATCTTCAGTTTCTTTGCCGTAAAGGAGCAATTTTAGCGCCTTACCATAGTTACTTTAAAAATTTACCATTTTCCAACAAAACGAACTTTCAAGATTCCGATAGTGATGAATAGTCTAAGATGTTTTTTATTTGTGTAGAAATTTAGGGTCAGTTACTTAAGAAATATTTTTCATTTGTTTTAAAACATGTTATTTTAATTATTTAAAAAATTAATATTTTTTATTTTTTAGAAACTCAAGCTCAGTTCCATTTGTTAAGGAATTTGGGCTCAGCTACTTAAGTTTTAAGTATTTTATTTCTATTACTTACTAACTGTGTATTAATAAAAATTATTCTAATAAATTTTATTAGATGAACATTTGTGTTTTTATAGAAAAAAGTCAATAAATCAGTTTTCACAAACATTTTGAAGCAGTAATAGATAATATTTTACGTTATTATCGTAGCAGGTTTTGAATAAAAAGTCATAAAATTAACCAAAGACTATATTATGTCCATAAACATACAATAAGCCTAAGTCCAAGAAGTGGACTTGGTATACTTGCTAACATTAAAAGTAATCTATGTCCAACTTTTTGCTTTAACGTTAATGTTTTTCGTTTTTACTAAGGTATATTAAAAACAGACATTTTTAGAACATGTGTACAAATTTTCATTAAAATATCTGTATAAATAAAGAATCTATTAAAAAAAACCGTTTCCTGAAAACTTTGCTTTTTGGACTTAGGCTAGTTCTATTCTAAAGGGACGATATGTATTTCAAATAATAGATCAAAAATTCATAATGTCCATTAACTGTATCACCATTGTATGTATTATACAGGGTGTTTCAGATTATTGTTGCATAACTCTAAGATTCGATAGAACTTTTAAAATTAATGCATAAAGTCTATATAAACATGGGTCGAAAAATGCGTGGCTTCCGAAATACAGGGTGTTTAAATTTACTTTCTAAAATAGTTTTTTTTAAGTATGTCGAACAATATTCGATGTATAACAGTGAAAATTGGTATACAAGGGTTTTTTGGTACGACAAAAAGAACCATGGGCATAGTTTTACTGTAGCCGCTAGAGGCAGCTCTTTACTGTACCTGTAGTGTAGTAAAATGACCGAAAATTTTTTCTTAGTGCAATTTTTTGCTTTTTGAATAAAAAAACTGATTCTTCGCACTTTTCAACATAAAAAAGCTCTCCTGTGAGTTTTCGTTATAGTTAGCCGTTTTTGAAATATTTCGATTTTTAAGGTTCGATGCATTTTTAATTATTTATGGGAAAATAATATTTTTTTTTACATTTTCGATTTGGGCTTTACAAGCAATAATTCCTAACTCCAAATAAACACAAAAAACCGAATATTAATTTGTTTAATTTTCCAATATTATTTTTAACAAATTAAATTAATTATTTACAACTAAAATGCTATTGGATAGTTAGGACAAACATACAAAATCTAAAGTAGTTGCTCGAAATGTAAACCCAATTGTTCAATACACAATTCACATCTACGAATGATCGAACGTGGTATAGCATTATTCAAATAATGGCTTATTTCATCACATGCATTCCTGATTCTGTCTATTAGCAAATCTCTTGTGGTTACGGAAGTCTGGTACACTTTTTCTTTTAGAAATCCCCACACAAAGAAATCTAATGGAATTAGGTCAGGGGATCGTGGAGGCCAGGCGACTGGTCCTCCACGGCCGATCCATCTTTCTGGATAATTTTCATCCAGCCAGTTTCTGACTATTCTCGAATAATGAGCTGGACAACTATCAAGCTGGAACCAGGCCAATCTTCTTAAATCTAACATAACATCATCCCACATATATGCATGTTCAGCCTTTAAAAATTCCAAGAAGGTCGCCGCATTTAACCTTGCAGGCAAAAGGTAGTGTCCAAATAGTCGATTACGGTAGATACCAATCCACACGTTCACACTAAATTCATGCTGAAAATTTCTTTCTCGAACTGCATGCGGATTTTCATGCGACCAAATATGTTGATTATGAAAATTTACCACTCCACGTCTAGTGAAGCATGACACATCGGTCCATAAAACGTTACTTAAAAACTCCCTATTATTATCAGTTCTATCAAGAGTTCACTGACAAAATGTGATTCTTCGTTCTCCGTCCCCTGGCTGTAGTCCTTGCACAGGTTGCAAATGGTGAGGACGTCTATGGTCATTTCTAAGAACACGGTGAACATGGCTTGCTGAAATTCCCAAGGCACCAGAAACTCTCCTAATACTTGTGGTCGGATCTCTATCAGACTCACACAGAATCATACGGGTAAATCTGCGCTGACGAATATTTATGTTTTGATCCCTTTGGAGATTTCCAAAACCATTTTCAATTATTTGGCGATGCACTCATACAAATACTGAGCGGGTTGGATGTCGTCTGTTTGGAAATCTTCGTGCGTATTCTCTGGCTGCTTTTGCTGCGTTTCCATTTACAAAGCCATACACAAAATAAATATCCGCTAACTCTTGATTGGAGAATAAAAATGGCATTTTTATAAAACAGGTAAAAGAAACTGGATTTCGTGCATTCACAATTGCAAAAAAACGTTTCAGGTTTCAACAGACAACAAAACTAACTGTCAACTAATTGACGTTTAACCTTATTCTGCTTTCAATTTCAAAAATATTTGCAGGCATAGCCTTCTAAAAATTATCGAGATACTGACTTTTTAACGTTATTTTATCATAAATAGTTAAAAATGCATCGACCTTAAAAATCGATATATCTCAAAAACGGCTAATTATAACGAAAATTCACAAGAGAGCTTTTTTATGTCAAAAAGTGCGAAGAATCAGTCTTTTTGTTTAAAAAGCAAAAAATTGCACTAAGAAAATTTTTTCGGTCATTTTAATACACTACAGGTACAGTAGAGAGCGCCCTCTAGCGGCTATGCCCATGGTTCGTTTTGTTGTACCAAAAAACCCTTGTATACCAATTTTCACTGTTATACATCAGATATTGTTCGAAATATTTAAAAAAAACTATTTTAGAAAGTAAATTTAAACACCCTGTATTTCGGAAGCCACGCATTTTTCGACCCATGTTTATATGGACTTTATGCATTAATTTTAAAAGTTCTATCGAATCTTAAAGTTATGCAACAATAAACTGAAACACCCTGTATAGTCGAAATCACGAAAAATGACGATTACATCATTTTAGTCTGTAGTAAAGACATATGACAGCGATCTTTGAATATTTTTAATGAAGTTTCTGATATTTTAGACAGAGACAAACAGAATTTTATTGTCTAAGCAAACTGTATTACTAATTTGCAAGTATCCGACAAAGATAGACGATGTTTTCATGTTGCACGATCCATCATATTTGAAAGATGAATAGTTAGGTTATGTTAAAGCAGGTTAGGTTCTTTCCGAATAATCCTTTGGTCTTTGGTGTTCCTGTCTTAAGGTATTCTACTCATAACTATTTTTTTTTTAAACAAAAACTCCTCACTGAGATTATTATTAAGGTATCACTCAAAACCATGAAATAAAATGAAAATAAAAATAATTAGTGAAATAACCTAACTTCGCAAAATCATAATATAAATTTGTTGTCATTATGTTCCTGAAATCGCGAATTTATCATCGACGTACGTCCATTGATGACTTCAGTACAATTTATGGTATAACGTAATAGTCATCTTTCGTGATTTTGACTATAGTATTAGTATTGTTATACACATATTATTTGTTATAGCATATTACAAACACACACATTTAAAAAAAGCTAAATCTAAGTAAGCTACGACCAATTTTATACACTAATGGGTAATAAAACTAAACAAATAATATTTCATTTAAATATTAACATAAAATTAACCTGGATCTTAACCCCTTAATAGGAACTGTTGAAATGGTTGCCATTTTCTCGAATGCAATGTACACATAGGGTGGAAATTTTACATGAAAAATTGTATAACATTTTAGCCTTGCGATATGTTGAAGAATAACGGGGATACGAGGGGGGTCCCGGAATGCAATATTTTCAATTTCGCCCTGTATCTCAGAAACCAAGCGGGCTATGAACGTTTTGTTTATACCATCTTTCTTTTCACCACAAAAAGTAGCACATTATTGCGAAAACCGCGACTCTCTATCTGTAATATCATCGAAAATGGAACACCCTGTACATGCCATACATTCACCATGTATAAATCCAATTACACGATGCCATTACAAACAATTTTTTGACAACATATTCCGTACGTGTATCAAAGTACATCAGCACTACCCTCTATAAAGCAATAAAAAAGTTCGGGACTTCTTCAAGTGGGGCATCTAAGAAAATGGATCCGAGCTCTTAGAAAAATGTCGGCGTCTTTACAGGGTTGGTCCGGAAAGTAATAGGACTCATTTTCCTTCGGCATGACTGAGTGCCAAGAAAATTTGAACATGTGTGAAAGTGACCCCCAATTTTTGAATAACGTAATAACAGGTGACGAGTCGTGGATCTTTGAGTATGATCCCGAGACAAAGAGGCAATCTACCGAGTGGCACACGACGGCGTCTCCTCGCCCAAAAAAGGGAAGAATGAGCAAATCCAAAGTGGAAACGATGCTCATTGTCTTTTTTGACATCAAAGGCATCGTCCACCATGAATTTGTTCCTCCTGGACAAACCGTCAACGCCAAGTTTTACGTGGAAGTGCTCAGGAGACTCCAACGAAGGGTCAGTCGGGTCCGACAAGACATCGCAGCCGTCTGGAAGTTGCACCACTACAACGCCCCGGCTCACACCGCCTTTCTTGTGAACAGCTACCTGACCAAGGCCGGCATCCCAACGCTTCCGCAGCCGCCCTACAGTCCAGATGTGCCCCCCCGGACTTTTTTTTGTTTCCTCGCCTGAATAGGCCGATGAAAGGCAAACATTTTGAGACGACAGAGGGGATCCAAGCAGCATGCACCGCGGCTCTCTAGGCTATTCCGGAGAATGCCTTCCATGACGCCTTCAATGCTTGGAAATCGCGCTGGCAGCGCTGCATCGACGCAGAAAGAGCCTATTTTGAAAGTTTTTAAAGAATTGTAATGATTGGCTCAATATTTTTTTTTAAATCGACTCAGTCCTATTACTTTCCGGACAAACCCTGTATATTCATCAAAAGCTTTTTCGCTAGTACTTTTTCTGGTAATTCCGTATTATTTGTAAACACTCACCTAGAGTTCTGCAATGCACATCATTAGTTTCCAAATTCACTTGCGCGTACACCAAAAACATAAATAAAAGCAG